TCATGCGACAATTCTGCCGATGACACATTGCTCCATTGTTTAAATAATGGATATGAAATTGTTTTACTTATCCAGATTTCACATTGTGAACATTTTTGCTCAATGATTGCATTGTTTTTCACATAACACATAAATAAACACTCTATTTCTGTTCGGTTACTACATCAAACCCCCTAATTCTCTTTTGTCTTGGATCACGTATTCAGTAATACCAGCAGCTAAAAAATTTCCATCAATTTGGGAAAATGGGCCAGATTGCACTGAAATGTGGATAATTTTAATCTAAAAGTTATTTGGCTATTGAAAGTGGGGGTGCGCAATAGACTTACCTCCACGTGGTGCAACCTGGGCAACGTATATTCGTACGGCAAAAAAGTCTATTGACTGGCAGTTGACTTCTCACTTCAAACTACCATCACCTCACTCTATGCCATATTCGAATATTTACACAGTACTCATTTTACCTTTTTATGCCTTTGTGTATGTCTGTCTCTTTCACATCTGTGAATCACTCTTCTGTTCCCCCTCTCGACATTTTGTCATTTTGATGTTCCTTCTTCTCTCTGTGAAGCCCCGAAGTCAGTTCCATGGCTAATGATAACTATCAAAACGTCTGCCATTTGATATAAATAAATACTATTGAAAATGAATAGCGACGTAGTCATCACTATGAAATCAACAAATTCTCCTTTGTGACAGGAATGGGAACTGCAATTTAATCCATTTTCAATAGCTTATTTGTTTAGAACAATCTATTGAGGCATAAGAATAGAATACACGTGAACAGCGATCAGACGTGAATTAATTGAAAATAGATTTTCTCGAAAAGGAGCATTTTATTCGAATTTTACAAATATCCAATTAGCTTAAGCATAGCAAAAATAATCCCATTTAAGAGAAGGTAAATTCCAGATCTTTCCATCTTTTGTCTAGATTAAAGCACAATTATTACCTGACAAGTAATCTCTTAATCAAAAGCCCAATGTTGGAAGAATACTTATTATAGCCAAGTACAGGCTTCAATAAATAAATAGCACATAAACTGAGCTTACTTTATGAATACCACGAGGTCGTCGATTGCGGAATAAAACCATAAATTCCTTCGAACTCATGTGACCATCGCCATCGGCGTCAAACATACAGAAAAGCGTCTGTAGAACGTGCTCTCCAATATCCAAATTCGTACAAACATGAATGGCTCTCTTAAACTCATCTAAACCAAATAATTAATAGATGGGGGTAGCATAGCTATACGCAGAGAAATTGGTTTATTTGCAAGCATATACATTTTCATTGCCATCTGAAAATCATCCAAGTGATTTATGAATTTGTAAAACTTTTTGAAATCTTCTATTGTTATCTAAAATGGTAGTCATTATAACGAACAATTGAACCTCTATATTAACTGAAAGTTTGTGCAGTCGTGACAGGAATTCATCATAGCGCTGTTCCGAAAGATTTGTGTTCTGAAGTAGAATTCTGGCAAATTCAAAGGGGGAAATTGTTTTTCCATTCGGAGAATGCAGAATGAACTCGACTTCAAGTATTTCGTTTTGAAAAATTTCAATGAATCTACTCAACTATGAGTAAATATTTTGACTCACTTGTAGAAATCCTCTTTTTTCAATAGTCTTTTACCATCTTTTCCAAATAGTGTCTGCATAAGAGTTGACTGTTCAAACAGATTTTCCCTAGGATACTAAGAAAAATATCATTTAATAATAAAATTACCAAAGAGAGTTCACTAGATGTCAATTCTTGTTCATCTGGGACACCAGCAGTTACATTATAAAGCTATACATGGACTATAGTAATGTAATAAACGGTTTACCATTGAAAATTCATTCGAATCGATTGAACCACTATAATCGGCATCAAGAAGGTCGAAAATAACCTCAAATCTAGAGCTAGGTTCTGCATAATAACAAACAAAATGTATCATCGTTACCATTGATTAAGGCGAGTAAGAATAAATAGTCGGTGAATGATATAAGTCCTTTATTCCCTAGCCTTCGAAAGAACTGAGAAGATATTGTCAATTGAGGTTTTGCAAGGGCCTTCTGAACATCAGCGACAGTGAGAGAGTGAAAGATTTTAACTGAAAATATAAGCAAATAATGCACAAACCCGGAGCCTTGTCTTGAAAAAGCGACTGTAGAAAATCATTCGGCGTCATATATAATACGCCCAAATATTCACAGGAAGCAAATCTCCTAAACTGTTGATCATATTTCGATACTTTCTAATAAAAACAAATATGCATTAATTAATATTAAACACATACACGCTTCTTTTGTTCACTTTGCTCTACGGCAATTCCACAAAACAAGCGATTTGCACTAAAATATCCTATGCTGGCAGTTGACAAAGAAGCTATCGTGAAAAATCGTCTAAAAAAGGTCATTCTCACTTCCTGCGCAGTCTATACCACTATGAATGTGCGCTGTTATTTTCGCCTGGATAAACGCATTTTCAAGGTTGAATATGACAATGAAAAAGATAAAACGTTTTATTTCAGACTAATTTGATCTATAAGGAAAACACAATAATAATTTATTTAGCTCCAAACCTGTTTTATTTATTTATAGTTGAACTATGTAAATTAGAAAAGAATTATTAAAACAGTTTAATTAGTCACCCAATAATGATTTAAAATAATTATAATTCTCTTTTAATTTGTTATCAGCGATTACAGGCGTATAAAATTTATAGACTGGTGTAAAATTTAAACAGCGAAAAATGTTAAATTAAAACAATTCTTAATATCCCACAACTAAAGAATGACTTCACATTATTTGTAACTCTAATAGTGAGCAAAATGAAAACGGTGATATGTATTCAAACAGTCTTACCTACGGTGCTCTGTGAGTTGAAAGTGTCATTAACTAAACGATGGAGAATGATGTAGATAAAAACTTGTTCAATACTATTTAGAGCTAAATCGAAAAACGACCGAACTGAAAAATAAATGACAAATATTGTTTAATTTTTATTCGATTTAATTTAACCGATTCTATTAAAAGTTATAAAGTGATTCCAGAGAAAGTATTTCTGATTTTGATTCCTATTTTAGTTACATAACGGTTTGAACTCTAAAAAACAACAAAATTTTAACCAGTTTTTGTAATGCAATAGTTTAAATTAATTAATAAATTACCAACTTGCATTCAAATGTTAAATTATTACTTAATAATCCTTTATGCAGAGCGAAATATCTGCGTATTTGTCTTTGGCTTTATTTTTCTAAATAAAATTTTATTAATCGTAATTCTTCAATTGTGCAATAATAAAAAACAAAAAATTGAATTGAAACAATTTATTGACGGAAAGATTTATATCCCATCTTTCATCCTGGATTACCTAATCAGCTTATTATCCCGTTTATTTATGCGCATGTAAACAATAACGTTTTTGAATCAGATGTGTATAGGCTTAACTCGTAAGGTATGCTTTAGTGGCATCAGTGATCAATTTAAGTTTATTTCGATTTCTTTTTCATTAAACGGAAAACTAATGATTCACTTTTTATTATTACTTGATTTTTTTAATATTTTCCGTACGAAAATATATAATGATGTTAATAATATTTTATTTATTAATAGAAATTGTGCTTTTCAAAACTGAGTTTTTCTGTGTCAATTATATTTTTTACAAATATATTTTTAATATTGGCGTATCATCTCAACCTACTCTAGTTGCTCAGCCATTCAACCTTTTCTCTTGCAAAAATCCATGTGTAGATATATTAATATCAATTCGCCTATTTTTTATATTTCAGGACAGAATATTTTATTTGCAGATAAATGCATTCCTAAATACTTTCAGATATATATTAAATCCTTATATACGAGCAAAATTTTTTATCACTTCACCCTTATAATAAGATTACGCGCTTTTAATATTGGTTACTCTTGTTGCTGTAATTTTGATAAATACTTAACATCTACTCTTTCAGTTCCATATTATTAAACAAAACCATGCGATGATTGTGAAATGACTCTTCGAGTGAAAGGGACCTACAGTGTTTCGGCAGCAGAAAACCCCTCTAGACTGTTGTCCGTCAAAGCCATCACTTGCAACGTTATCTTCCTTGACGATAAGTCTGAAAATTTTAAACTGGACGTAAGTCTCCTCTTTCTGTGCATTTACTTTTATTTTCTTTCTCACTCTTCTGAAGAGTCATTCACCCTTTGCAATTTGACCTTCAGAAAAATGCTCGAGGTCAGGTTCTCATTGATCTAGTCAATGATTTTTTGGAGCTCCTTGAGAGAGATTTTTTCGGTCTACAATTCAACGACTTCTCCTGTAATCCTGGCCCTCTACTTGTAAGTGATCCTTTATTAATATTTCTGAATACCTATTAAAAACGACTATCTGGTGTTATTTTATCCTTTTTAGCGGTGGCTGGAACCTACCAAAACCTTAAAAAAGCAACTTAAAGGTGAGTCTATTATGTAATGGACATTGTGCCATTAATGAACACAAAATGGGCTTGCATGAGTAGGGTTTGTGCATAGCTTCGACTATACACGCAAAGCCACTGTGCCAAATCCTACTTTAACGCCACAGTCACTTAAGCATACACAATGCCACATTTATGCATATGTATGCATGTGGTTTTCCTGTCATCATTGTCGTAGTGTCTTAATATCACCATTATTACACAGTTCGCCTTACCAGCTCCCCTAGTTAGCACAGAATTAACTCGTTAGCATAATCACAACACAGCAGAAGTACATTTGTATCTTGACCGAACCAGTCGTTTTTATTTATATACCT